TTTCAAAAAGCGACAATAAAGCCTTAAACTTTTCATTTAGACCAATGAATTTACACTCAGGTTAGAATATACTTGAGTTTTTTGTTTCTAAGATACATCTGAGACTTAAGAGAAAAGTTGACTTTCCAACTGAGCTATGAATGAGTCACAAAAAAACTGCAATTAGAAAACGTACTGCTGAATCTCAATGCACATTTCTTTAAATGTGCTACTGATAATAAAGTTGAAACCCCCTCATCACAAACATCATAATGATTGACTATCTAATGGCTGAAGGATGTCTCAGGTGAAACGTATGGGAGATTAATCATCATAAGATAACTAGCAATCTTCAGGTTCATGCATTTTTTCTATTCTGAGGAGTTCAAACCAATTAGGGCAAGATATACCTGTCAATACACATAGGTTCATAAACTAGGAATTTACAGTAATTCCATATCTGAGTTAGCTATTACGAACCTGTTCTAAACAGACGCATATTTATGCAATTAGGAAGCCTGAATTTAGAACTTCTAACCAAGATGATCTGCCTGTTAAAATTTCAGAAACAAAGTTGGAAAGGGGATCATGTTGCTCCTCCACATTCATATATGCATTTCCATTATTTTTCCTTGGCCCTAAGTCAAAAGATAAGTCATTTGACATTATGAAGCTAGGAACAATACTTGAAAGAAACTTCCCATAACTGCTGTATTTGTTTGTATTTCTAGAAGGAAAAATCTTGCATTGTACTTTCATAAATACTTTTGCAGTTGACTGAAAACAAAAAGGCAGGATCATTTATTCTCGGAAAATTGGTACATTTATAATTTTTAGACTAAAATTAAGTAACTTAGAACTCACAGTTTTAGAGCTATAAAATCTGATCTACAAATTAAGGACAGTAAAGTCTCCTTACCTTAGGGATACCAACTGATGTACAAGGAAGAAATGAATGTTCACACTGCTCAAGGTACTTTTCTGAGTTGCTTTTTCCAAATAAAAGAGTAACCACAAAACCCCTAAAATTGAAAAAGAAACACCAAATAGAACAACAGTCTTTTTTCTCTCCCCACTAGAAAACATCACACAGAAAGTTATGAAATACCAGTATATAGCGACTTTCACCTGTTATCATTGGGCGAGGCTCTTCCAATGCATCTTGTTACACAAAATAACCAACACAATACTAAACAAAAAGTTTCCCAGTCTTATCATAAAAGCACAGAATGGCTTAGGTTGGAAAGGCCCTCAAAGATCATTTAGTTCCAAACCCCAGCCATGGGCAAGTTTGCCACCCACTAGATCAGGCTGCCCAGCTCCCCATCAAACCTGGCCTTGAACTCTTCCAGGGATGGGGCATCTACAGCTTCTCTGGGCAACCTGTTCCAGAACCTTACAAGAACCACAAAAGCACCGGGAAGAAACTGATATATCAAATGTAGAAAGAATAAGAACATACATTAAACTGAAATGATAAAAAAAATCAAGTAGTCTCACCAAGGCACGTAGGAACAGAGAGACAAGAAAAAAAGACTACAGGAAAAAATAATTTGAACATAATGGTTTGGGGTTTTGGTTTTGTTTAATTAAGTCAATATATAAACTCTAAAGACAAGCATACTCCTGGACCACTTATTTTTTTTAAATTTTATGTTAGAAATTCATTATCTTTTCACCCTCACAACTTCACAATAATATTTAAATCATGACTTAAGCAGGACAACAGCTATTTTTATTTTTTTTGTTGTTGTTGTTTGTGATATAATGAATGCACAAGAGAAAATAACTATTACAATAAATTCAATTTTGCTGCAACAGGAATAATTTACAGCTTATAACACCAGGGTGCAAAAACATAAAGCCTGTTTTAATAAGGAACAGTTGAAAACATAAAGACTGTGCCAATTATAGCACAACTGAAGTAAGCAGCCTTTGAAAAGTTAAGCATAAAGAACACTGAGAAGTTACTGCTGCTCAAGACTAGCCTTGGGATGGCTGAACACGCATAGCTTTTTAACTATTCAATTTAAAGGCCAGCAGATGAACACTTGTGACCGTACGATCTCACAAACCTGTCCCAGCCTAGAAATGTCCTGAAATAACATTATTTTAGCATAGATTTTTCCTGTTATACAGCATTCTTCATGTATGATTAGAATATAATTTCTAACCAACATATCTAAAGCAGACAAAAATAAAACATTTAAAGGTTTTAACCCATAAACTGGGAACCATTCTTCATGAGCTCTTTAGTGGTTAGTAATTCAGAAGTAGGGAGTTGTCATTTATACTCTAATATGTTAAGGCCAAAAAAAAAGCTACACAAAATTATTATGGGTAACTTCATAACGAAGAATATTCCTCTTGACACTCTGATTTCCTTATGGCCTAGAGCACCCTCTTTATCTGCCAATCACAAACACTCTTTACATATGAATGAAAGACAATAAATAAAAAAAAATTAGGAGTTCTAATTGCTTTTCTGCTCTAGATGCTCCCAGATAGCTTTCAAATCATAACACTGACAGCACTATTATCATTTCAATTCAGTTCAAGGACAAAAACTTGCTTAGAAACCTTCCCAGTATTTGTTTCATTATGCTAAAAATGGTAAATTTTTTTCACTCATCATTTAGACTTACTTCATTTGTTACGTATCAATTTTCTACTAGAAATTTCCATCAACTTTTAAAGAAAAAGCCTTGAAAGTAACAAGCTATACATTATGAATCTTTTTTCTCTCAAACATTTTGACATGTTTCAAGTGTCAAAAACTACACTCATTCAGAAATACTCATATGCTACCAATGTAGTTGAAATGCATGTCCATCATCCTATATACATTTCCATTTTTAAGCTAGATAAGCTAAGAACTTCTGCCTCCAGAGCAGAAATTAATACATTTTCTTCTTCAGCTTAAAAATCTTGAGTATATTAGAGAAGTATACATAGCCTCACTATTTAGTATAGCTGTTAGCTAATCAGAAGCTTCCAGCGCAAATGCTAATCCAATTAATCAAGAGGATATAAAATTCAGTAAATGCAAAATCATTTGTCTTCTAGAAATTATTGGAATGAGACCATAGTTCCCAGTTTGAAGTTCTTCCAAAGATATTGTAAGATCAGCTTCTCACAAGGACAGATTAACACTAGAACAATGGTGAAAGACAGAAAAATGAAGGCAACAGATTTATCATTTTCCCACCAAGTGTGAAAAGTAACAACCTCAGCGGAATGCTCTGTGGAAGTCAAAATGCAGCTTCACCATCATTTCCAATCTGGCCAGGAATTGAACTAACCAGTGTAGGCAGGCAACACATACACATGCATATGATTAAGCATCGATAATAACGCTTTTTTAACAGAGCAAATTGCTTTATATGTCAGTGATTGCGGGTCTAAGAAATTTTAGTTCTGGCAACATCAGCTACTGGCAGAACCGCAAATAACGTTGTTCTCATTTCACTACTTTGAGATTCAATGACAGAAGGAGAAAGAGTAAGGTAAAGAAACACACATGATACAAAGAGAGGACAGGTAAAAGACAGGCTGAGGACTAAGGTGAATGGAATTGCAACAATACTTGAAGCAGAGGCAAAAAAAAAAAAAATGTTGTAAAGCTCAATGCCTTGTAATCATCTTGGCTGTAAAGGTTAAAGAAACAATCTCTCCTCTTGTTTGGTGGAAAGAGCTAAGTGAATTTCCTAAGTGATCAGTTTTCAAATCCCAAATTGAAGAAAAAGTTATTAGAAAACATGCAAAGAACAAAACTTATTATTTTCGAAATGAGTCCTGATTAAAAAAAAAGAATAAAATTAAACAAAGACAATTTTTGTTTTAAATCTTTTATTCATATGCAGAAACAGTTTCATTCATGCAAATAACAATAACACACTACAAGCTAGCTGTGCTTGTAGGAAGAAATGCATATTTAAGAATATATAAAAAATAGCTAAATACCACAAAACTGAAGTAAAATGGTAGAAAAACATTATGTTGATACAGCTATAGCATCAGCATTTTTCTTCACAACTCACTGGCATACACTACAAAAATTCAAGTTGATATTCAGGATGCAGTCAACTATAATTCAACATTTTCTCCTGTTTGAACTGCAAAATGGGACAGAAGCAGACTGCCAGCTAGTTGAAATCCCAAACCATTGATATAAACCATCATTTATGAACAAGTGCAATAAAGCTAAAAAACTGCATGCCAAATTGTTTAACAATTCAAAATTTTAGCATAACAAAACAGATTCAGATTTGTTACTCTGCTCCAAATAAGGGCAATGTAATTGTTAAAAAAGCTTTTACAAATGAATCAAAATTAAATTATTATTTTCAGAACTTATGAAACTGATGTTATATTATTTCTAATCAAGGTAAGAAAAACAGGAGCAAGCATTTTTCATAGCCTCATAGGAATTAATTCAAAAAGGAAAAGCATGCAGGAAAATTTTGGAAATAAAGCCATTTGAACGACTCAGAACTAATGTATGCTGTATGCTGGCTTTAACTTAAGTATTACACATCTGATAAGATTAACAGAGTAATAAAGGGCCAGATCAGAGACTTAGCCAAGAAGATGTGCATATTAAACTAATGACTGTATTGGAACAACGAAGACCTCATATCTGTCCAAATAAGTAAACACATAATAGGAAAATGGATACAGATTCTGCTTTAACTGAATTTAACACTGCCAGAAGATGATTTTAGATCTGGGATGGTAAATGTTCATTGACTAGCTACAACAGTAAATCAAAGTACACTGATGTTCTACAGTCAGCAAAATATGCCAATCGTATATGTATCAAAATTCAGTAAGACAATGTATGGGAACTGCTGAGTCATGGCCTGAACCTCTGATTGATCACCTGAGGTGAGCACTGAGTCAGCCATGGAAGCACAGGTGAAGGCAATTCTCCTGTGCTGCTGGAAGGGGTGGAGCCTGGCTGCACCTCTCCCAGACCCATTTAAGAGCTGACTGCCAGTAGGGAAGGATCTCTTCTGGAGATCTACTCTGCTGCCATTTTGTAAGTGAGCCCAGGATATGGGTAAGCTTTCTATCTATTCTCTTTTTGTTATCTGCTTTGTCAAATTCTCTTTGTTTATTTTGTAATTATAATGTCTTAATGTTCATTGAACATACAGATAAACTAATTTTTGAGTAAATGCCTTTAACTAACTCACCAATCCAGTAAACTGATAACTCTGAATTCTCATAGATAGGATTTTATGTTTTACATTGTTTAAACCCAAATAGCATCTCCAGTTCTAGCAACTTAACTCTATTGTACTTTTCAGTAGGGCATACATACTTTACTGTACCCAATAAGAAAGTCAGAACAGTATTTCAGAGAGGAAAAAAAATCAGACAAATTTCCTCACTAGAAATACAGCAGGTGTGGGAGAACCAAGAAATGTTACTATTCTGCAGAACATTTGGATGATTAAGAGGAAGGAAGATTATCCTACCAATGCTTTTAGGCCTGGCATCAAAAAATAAAGATTATAAGGCAGACATTACAATGTACAGTGTAATAATTTTTACTTCTATTAGCATTGTATTACATCCTTCCTGTCTACAAAACTAAATGTCTACAGATTCTGAACTGATGTGCTTGTTCAAGGTGTACCAAGACAACATTTCCATACATACAGAAAAACACCAGTTTGCTTCCCTCATGAATGAAGCATCTTACATAGGAAAATGAGCTAGCGAGAAGGAAGGAAGATGTAATTTCTTAATAAGTACCTGGGATAAGAACCAACACAGTAATAGAAAGTCACGAACTGAAGATAACATTGGTGTAATGTGAATATTTGTCTACTAGTAGCTATTAAAAATACTTAGATCTGTTTACTAAAAATCAGTCATCTTTTTCCTCTTGGCAAAGATAGTATAAGCACCATTTAAATAAATATATATACATGTAAATCCTAATTTTAATAAACTTGAGATCTCAAGAAAAAATAACTTGGTCATATTGAAGTTGCTTAAACACACACAATTACACAGAAGTCATTTCAGATTTTCAGAGCAAATTGCTGTCAGGCATGTTAAAATTCTACCTCCACTATATACGAACAGTATGTAGCATACTTACCCACCCACAAAGCAGAGGATATAAAACGCAAAGTAAAATATAGCAAAGGGTCCAAAAGTTATTAGGAAAAGCACAACACCAAGACTTCCCCATCCCCATATGGAAAGACTGGTCTGCAAACAAGAACACATAGGAAAAGAGTCATTAATACATGTACAGCTTGAAAACCTCCAAAGCAATATTTATAATTACTCAAAATCTTGATACATTTTAACTAGGCAGGAAATCGATGTATTCTTGATGAAATAGAAACTTTTTACAATAAAAAAAGCATTTTGCTATCAATTTACACTGTGAGCTAGCAGTTCACCTTAGCCAATGTTAGAGTATTTTTCTTTTAAATACTGTTTCCCATTTCTCAATACAGATGCAACTATCACCTTTATCACCTAGACCCATTTAAGAGCTGACTGCCAGTGGGAAAAGATCTCTTCTGGAGATCCCTCCGTTGGAGTTTTACAATGAGCCTAGGACACAGGTAAGCATTCTATCTATTCTCTTTTGGTGTAATAATTACTTACCAAAACTTTCTGGTATATTTCATAATTATAACATCTGTAAGTTCATTGATTATACAGATAGGAAGGAAGAAAAATGCTGTCTTGAAAGTACTTCGTATGGCTGAAGTCAAGTGTGAGAGCAGCTGTGGGTTTAGTGGATTTTAGGACTGGTGTGTCACATAACTCACCCATAAAACAGCCTGAAGGGAATGTAGGTTACTGTGCTGTTACATATTGCAATGCAAGAATCTTAACACAGAAATATGTACACACATACATAGGTGTTTGTGTGTGTATGCATGCACACGTAACAAAAAAGCAATACAGTGACAACCTGACTGCACTGTCACAGTTTTGGACTTTCACAATGCTGCAATGCAGCCAACAAAGATTATGTAATGTTAATTCACTCTATTCCATAGTTCAGTAAGGAAGGTGCATTTCAGCCAAATCCCAAAAGTGTGAAACTGAAGCTGATGAGAATTTTTAGGCCACGAAAACTGTTCCAGCCCTAAGGTTCTCAACTTTTCTATTTTTTTGTCTAATTTACACCTTTCCTACCACTGATCAAATGACACCCTGAAAGAAACACAGACAACTCAATGTTAACAAGTAACACTAAGAAAGTATTTAAATAAACTTGTCTTGCAATTTGACATCCAGAAAACAAGCAAAGATCTAGCACCATACTTGCAGGGAGTTCTTTTTTAGTTTTTGATGTGAGAGATGAGGGGCATCTGCCTACATTTCTTATTTCTCTGAAGGGAAATTTCAGCTCTTTCTCTGAGGCACAGGACTCAGAAAAAACTACATAATGACAAAAAAAAAAAAAGGTTTAAGAATCCTACGAACAATGAAAAGTAATTTAATTCAGCTACATACAATAGGAAAGTGACAGGAGCTCTCATAGTCTAACACACAAAGATGAGTCCTCAAATTCATGCCCTCAGAAATGTACACATTTTGAAACCTCTACAGAGTACTAAACAACAACAAGATGTGCACATAGAACATAACTTTTAATCATGATCTTATCATACCAAAATATCAGTACATTTAATAGCGCAATTTGAAAAAAGTTGAAGTTCTAAATATGGGGTAAGGACTCTAAATGACTTAACAAAACTTAATTAACAAGATAGTGGGATGCATATTCAGAGATGGGTGAATGCATAATTAACAAAGAAAGTTCCATAACAGATAGAACAGTGACCTTTTGTCCTATACTCTAGCTCTGCAATTTAGCATATGGCTACAGAGATTCAAATCTCATTTGGTATTTTAATAGGATTTCTTAAAACTCAGACAACTCAGCACACTGCAGTAAGTACAACAGATACTGGCCCAATTCTTACACGCTTTTAGTTTATAATCTAAGGATTTTGAGAGAGAAACTCAAAAGGATGGAATGATCAGAACAGTTCAATTCAGGCTGACTGTAAATAAGGCTCCCTGCAACTTCATGCTTCTTAAAATTTCCAGCAGTACAACTCCTGGGCAAAATTGAAAACTAAGTCTCCTTTGCCATATCAGAAAAAAAAAGTCCAACTACTACTTAAATATTTCTGTGCAGCTACTGCCAATTAGTACTTTCTAAGAAGGAATATGGAACTAGTAGGAGTATTAAAAAAAAAAATCAAACCTCTAAAATCCTCTAAATTCAAACTTCTTTACAAATAAGCTGTATTTTAAAGACTAACAAATTTACTGACATTTTGTCTAGTCTTACTGAATTTAATTGTAGGGAGAATATTTCTCACTCCTAGGAGAAAGTGTAAGCTTGTAGAGATGGCATAACAGCATTTAAGTAGCAGCTGCCCAAACCTTTTAAAAGACAAACTTCTAAACTGAACTGTCAAAGTATTGGTTACTGAATTTCAAGCAACTATGGTCAGCGACTCAGCACTATAGTACTAATACAGGCCTTAATCCTGTAGGATGCACACATGTATACAATGCATGCACACAGATGAAGGCTCTGCATTCCAGACAAGCAATGGTTCCACCTTATTAGTTTTACCCACATTTGCTTACTTTCACTTCAGATGCCATATGTTTACCTTGCCATCACTACATCTCATTTTTGAAGCCTCAAGACCTACAAATACACTGCAGGAGTCTTTCTTTGTAAGGCCATACACATGAAGGGCTAAGGCAGCACCACATAAGATTCAGTAGCCTTTTTTCCATGATATAGAATTGATTTAGCAACGTATTAACTGCAGAATAGGGCTGTCTGTAAACTGAAACAGCACAGTGAAAAGCCTCATCAATCACTAGGGGTGATTAGGTGCTGGTGACAGAATTAATGAGATATCACCTCTTAATGATACCTACTTTTTTAGTAGGTGCATGGGAACTGTTGGGTCATGGCCTGAACCACTGATTGATCACTTGAGGCAAGAACTCAGCCGGCCATGGGAGCACAGGTGAAGGCAATTCAGCTGTGCAACTGGAAGGGGTGGAGCCTGGCTGCACCTCTCCTAGACCTTTAAGGTATAAGGTTTAAGGGCTGACTGCCCTTCCTGAAAGGAAGGATCTCTTTCTGGACATTGTTCCTTTTGGAGTTTTCTACTGCAAGCCTAGGACAGGTGAGCATTTCATTTTTGACTGTCTCTTTCCACCATGATAATCATTCTAACTAAACCTGTAAAATGCCATCCTAACTGCGCCATTCTAACGGCACGTTTGTTAATTGTACAGTAGGCTGTTTCAGGTTTCCCACTGTAGGTTGTTTTTCCTCTTCACAACACACAGGCACTAAAAGAAACACATTAAAAATCTGCTTTCTTACATTCTTCTGCTCTGCTTTTCTTTGTCTTTTGCTATCTACTAATTAGCACCACATTCTGATGGTTCTTGTTGCACGTTGCTGTTGGCTGACACAGCAGAGCTGACCGATTCATCACCATTCACACAAGATCCCGAGTAAATCCACAGAATTCGCCACCTTGAACCTGTGTGCAGTTTATTGCCTAGACAGACATGTGGTATTATAGCTTACTGCTCATGAATTAGCAAGATTATTTTGCAGGCAAGTAAGCAGGAGCATGGCAAGGATTTAATGTAGCAGCTGTAACAGCAATGAGCCACTCCCATAACTAACTGCCTTTCTGAAGCAGTTTCAGTAGGCTTCTCCTTCACATAATCCAGCAGACAAGCTGTCAGAGCTTTGTCTCTAACCCATCTTTAAGCAAAACCTTCAGCCCTGATACTGCTTTCACTGCAAACATGCAGTGAGGAAAGTACAGCTGTGCTATGCTTGGACTCAAAACTGGTGCTGCCAATTCTTGTTTGAAACAGCAACTGACAGATAGAGAAGTGTTTCTCCTTTCGTGCAAGAACAGCCCCAGGTGTTCCCCTGACAGCTGCTCTTTTCTCCCAGCTCTCTTCTTGCCCCCCCAAACAGCTACACTCCTATCCCCACAGGTCCAGGCACCCCTGCCCTCTCACTCCTGCTGGAACCCAAGCACCTCATTCTTTATGCTTGGCCTTGCAGACCCAGAATAACTGTAGTTGTGCTGTGAAGTCTGGGGACAGGGCAGAGGGAAAGAAAGAACAGCAGGATAGAAAGGGTGGACTCAGAAATAATCTATTTCTGCATCTTAAGCTTCAGCAGAGAACTCTGAAGTCTTACAGCTGTGGCGTTCAAAGAGCTGCTTTGGATGCTGTCCCACTGCTGCTGACCACCCTTTGTGACTGCTTTCACACTGAAGTTTTGCCACGTAATACTGTGGACTATAAAGAAAATAGCACTTCCTCACTCATGGTTCTTTTACTGTGTATATCCAACTGCATTTGTCTGGTAGCAATGTTTAAATGGCAGCAGCTGTTATGTCCCTAGCCAGACATTGATAAGCAAACTAGTCTTTGCTCTTTGGGCACTTTTAACATTTATTTTTTTCTCTTCATTTTCTTAATATGATGTTTAGCTAAATGTATTCAATGTCATCTGTGGGCTCACATTAAAAATTTGCTGAGAGTAGATGTCAAGTTTAATTTTCTGTTAATTCTACACATCTGCGCTTTCACTTCAATTTTAAGTGTAAATGGAATGTGTTCACGTACAGACCTTTCTATAATTAAGGCAAGTGTCACTTTTCTCAAGTGATTAAAAACATTATTTTAGCATTCAAATTACCGTGCCCTCACTAGCATGACAAGTAGGATGGGAAAGCAGTATCAACTGGAGTACCAATCTCATATTTAAAAAGTACAAATTAAACCACTGATATCATGGTAGTTACAGTCTTACTACATGCTAAATCTAAACAATCCAAGTGAAAGACAGGGTACAGGGAGTTATGAAAAAACTTCTCCTATCACTTAATGTCTTCTATCTCCTTCCACCTTATCTTTTTGTCCTTTGCCCACCTCAGCCCAATAGATAAAGGGGTAGATAAAGCAATACTCAACAATCCATTCCTCTCAGACTATGTAAAAAAAAAAAAAACCAAAACTCTTTTGCCTGCTGTAGTACTTACAAGAAAACTCTTGGAAAAGGCTTAAAGAGAAGGACTTTCATGTAGTCTGTTTTGCTTTTAATTGTTTTAAGTTCAATAAGTTTTTCTTTCCCAAAATAAGCCTAAAATATTAGAGGATATAAACAAATCACCTTGTAAATACAGAATATTATGCAATGTTCTCAAAAGTTAGGCCCATTAAGTTTCTTCTGGATAAGTGCAGAATTCTTGCTGATTCTTCCTGGTCACACAGCTGGAAATTCTTCTTCTCTGCTAACTATGGTCCCATTTGTTCCCTCAGCTCAAGATATGCTTTGTGTGCCAAAAGGTTTAATTGGTTAACAGTTGGATGAATCTAACAGCCATCACGCCTAACCCTACTTAGCTGAGATTTTCCTGCTGCTTCTCTCTCTCTTTGAGATAGAAGAATTTTGGGTAATGCTTTCCCCTACTCTGCCCCATTATACAAGCTGGTCTAATCAACTGCCTCAGAATGGGTGGTAAGTATTGGTTTATACGTTTATACTCTAAAGTCACAATTACTGCCCTGCCTCTTCACTTAACTTATGAAGTTCACTTTTAAAAGTACAAACATTTAAATGTAAATATATGTTGGCACTTTCTTAAAATACATAGTACAGTAAAATTTAATTAGACCGTAATTAAAAAGTTTAAAAGCTATTCTGTATGTCATTGCAATTTCAGTTTATCAGCAACAAAATCCACTGCCTTACTGCACAATATTACCCTGAAAAATGGCAAAATTATGCACTATATGTACTATTATGTGCTATATTTTGATGTATTTTATGCACTGAAGTCGATGAAGAAAAATAAGTATTTTGATTAACTTTCATTCTTTCTGTCACAAGCAAAAGAATTTTCAATGGCAAGTTTTCTTTTCAAGTGAAAAAACACAGTCAAACAGCCTGGATTGAAAGGTCAGGTTCTACTGTTTCTTTTTCTCTCACCTGTTCCGTCAGTATTCCTAAAAACAAAGTGAAATCTGGATTACAATTTATTTATTTGAAAGGAGCCAACCTTTATTCTTCTAACACTTATTCTCAACACTAAACAGATATTTTATTTAACATCAGAATTAACTGCAATGGCTAGGAAGTCATATTTCACAACCAGATCTTGAAAGTGGAATAGATACTTATCTAAGTAGGAAAAACAAGAGGCCAACTTCACAGACAAATATTTTCTGATTGCATCTTGCATTGAAACCCCAATTCTAAACTGTATTCTAACTAAAAGAACTGGGAATCATGCTCATGTTTAAAGGAGGCACTTCAGCATGCCGGATGCTGATGGGAAACAGAAGCTGTTAGCCCACTTTCAGCTATCTCCTTAAATCTAATAAGAAGTGACATTCTCAAACTCATTTTTAACTTCCTGTAAAAAATGTATAAATTCTTACTGACTCTACTGACTCATATCTTAGTTTAGCCAAGCAGATAGAAAACAGGGACAAAGAAGAGCAGACAAACAGAAGTCTGTTCTTGACAGGATCATCTGATCCTTGACAGGATCATCTTAGTTGACCTAAAGTAAGAAAAAGTAATCTGTCTAATTCAAGCTTGAACTCAAGCCAATGAGATAATCTACACTGTTCTGTGTTCAGTTTCTGGACTAACAAATTGCATCTATTCCACACATTGCTAGCACAAAACTCTGGGGAAGGAAGAGTAGGAGGAAGCCCCAGACTCTATCAAGTAAAGAAAAGTGTTGTCCCAAGTGGCTAAAAACAGTAAACTGACACATCAAGAAACCATCTTACTGTACATCTCAGTTCTGATTACTGATCAAGCAGCTTATACTTTTTTACTTTTTTGCTTTCTTGTCCAATACTGGAGCAAGGAATTATTAGAAAGTTCCCTTTTGTTTGCCGAAGAAATCTGATCCTATTTAATGAATTCAAAGAATCATCAACTTTGCTTTGAGTGCAATTTCTACCACTCGTGATTCTCAATGTATATCTTGACAGAAATTTGTTATGTTAGTCTCATTCCAACGGAGAGCAAGTAGGCTGTGTCTTGCTGTTTAAACTACTGTGTATATATATTCTTCATATATGTAAATACTGAATGTGTATATAGGAACAAGCACAATCCAGTTCTTTCTGTTTACTGTAGAACAGTACAGTTATTAGTACCCTGGGTATAAAATTAATCACTGCAGTTTTTTGTTTATCTGGCAATATTATTCTATATCTGTGCTATTAGCAGCATAATCGTGACAGTGCACCAAAATAGATGCATGTACAGCACTTACTTTGAGATGAAGCAGTTTTGGACACAGTGTAGTACTGTACTGTTGTATTTGATGTGTTTTTTTTTAATTGTTATTTTATTTTAAAATTACATAATGCAATCTAACATTCCAAAATAAGCAACAATCCTTATATAGATGAGAAAGTTACTTTAAAATATTAAATTAGTAACATAACTTTACAGTATTTTATCTCAGGATTGGCTAAATATAACGAGATACGCTAACGGCCTTATTAGGTCAGGTTAAGGATGTGATGGAACACAAGTTAAGAAGATAATTCACATTATCTACTCTAATTGCCAGAAGGATTCTTCCAGAAATAGATACAATGAGACCAAGAATTAATTTCTATATTGTCCCCAGCGGGCAGAGCTGCTACCACTACCATCACTCACATCACATCTTTGTGGAACTTGTTTGCTTAAAGGAAATCATATGGTTAAAAGACCCACCACCACTCCAAAAAAAGAGAAGACTAAGATGTGAACCATAAACAGTAATGTATGGTTCAGATTGGAAAAACTCTGAGCTGGAGCTGTAATGCCAAATTGTACTTGACTACAGGAAGTCAGAAATGCCAAAGCTCGACTGAAAGCCAACACAGATGATTTCTCAAATTATACTGGCAGCAAACAGGCACCTTCAAGAACAGTCTGGGCCAGGAAGGAAGATACAGGCCAGTCAGACTCATCTCAGTCTCTGGCTAAACTGCAAATAACCAGCACAG